ATTTTCGGCACCTCTCGTATTGTTTTTCGGCTTGACTCCGACCCCTTCACAAAGCAGGGGGGCGGATCCTCGGAGCAGGGGGGCACGTTATATTCTTTCAAACGAAATGGCGTTGCTGACATTTCTTCACCGAACATTCATGATATATTTGAGTATTTCAGGGAGATAGAAACCACGCCATCTTCACCATCGTTCGCCTACAACATGAGGCCAAAGCTCCCTCTGCAAGTCCCGACCAAAGCATGTGGCTGACAGCAGTACACATGAGCTCTTGGAGTCTATTTGCGACCCCCCCCCCCCCCCCCCCCCCNTAGACGTACGTAAGAGCCAATTCGCACTGTACGGTGCTATACACGCACACAGCAGAGCCACCCCTCCAAGATGAAGCACCTTGGCTGTAGATGTCTCCAACAGCTAGCGACGGGCCCAAGTAGTATGAAATTCCATACACCACAGCGTTAGAACTCAGCAGTGAACGACCTCATGTGGGCCCAAAAAAAATAGTAGTACTTAACATGCGAGCCCTCAAAAACGCGGTGGAACCTCGTGCGAGTCGACGGCACATCCCTGGTGAATACGAGAACGCGCTGTAAACGTTGCCAATTGGCACGAAACTTGGCACGAATACGAACTGTTGGGTAAAGAGCAAGATGAAAAGCTCTTGTAGTGATTTGTTGCGCGTAGGCGTCGGGGAGGACAGATTTAGCTGAAAAATGGCATCCACGCGGTGGCGTTATGCTTAGGTGTCGCAAGTCTGTTTACTGCAGGGTGTCTCGCATCTTGTAGCTGTCTCTTTTGCGGATGTATAGCACTTTGAATTAGGTTGTATCATGCTGCATAGGTTGAGTACGCGTAATCGGCGCGCACCAATATTTGAAATGAACCCACCTGGGTACGATGATGTTGTTGTACCGCGAAGTTGCGGGCCAACCAACAAGAGAGCTCGTTTCCTCTCTTCTCTCTTNGTTGGGTAAAGAGCAAGATGAAAAGCTCTTGTAGTGATTTGTTGCGCGTAGGCGTCGGGGAGGACAGATTTAGCTGAAAAATGGCATCCACGCGGTGGCGTTATGCTTAGGTGTCGCAAGTCTGTTTACTGCAGGGTGTCTCGCATCTTGTAGCTGTCTCTTTTGCGGATGTATAGCACTTTGAATTAGGTTGTATCATGCTGCATAGGTTGAGTACGCGTAATCGGCGCGCACCAATATTTGAAATGAACCCACCTGGGTACGATGATGTTGTTGTACCGCGAAGTTGCGGGCCAACCAACAAGAGAGCTCGTTTCCTCTCTTCTCTCTTTCGCGATCATCATTTTTTTCGACCCCGTTCTGATTTGAGAGACAAGAATAACACTCTCGAAAGTGATTTCTGATCCCTAGGGACAAAGGAACCCGTCCGTGATCGCTTCTAGATACCCTGAAAAGAACAATTTATGCTACACTGCAGAATTTTCCTTCCAAGTTTGTTTGTGGGCATATTTTCGCCAGGGCGCACGCATTTTTTCGCATAACAGCAGTGAGGCTGGGCGAGGTCCCGTGCTGTCCACGGAGAGCATGACGTACGTGTGAAAAGGATAGGGTGGAACGAAACTTCCACCGGCCGTTAAGTACACATGCGACGTTACCGATAGAAGAAAGGCCATATTTTGTCCAACGCTTGTTCTTGAATTGGGTCAGGCAATATTCCACATTATGTACAAGCAAGACTGCTCTTAACGTCGGGCCGATGGCAAATACAGTCAAATCACTACATCAGTCGGCGGCTGACCTCAAACTGACAAAAAAATAATAAAAATACTAAACTG